CATTGCTTTGCTTACCTGCTGTACATTCGCGGCCCACAGCCAGCCAGCGACGCCGACGCGACGGCTTCTTGCTTGGGGCGTTGGCATCCCACCTTGATTGGACCTACCCGTGACCACCCCTCCAACAACTCGTTCGCTGAACCTTTCAGCAACGGGGATTGCTCTTTCAACATGTCGCTCGGGGATGTGAGGGGCATTCAGGATCCTCTGCCCCGTACCGATGTCATTCGCGAATCTTTCGCTCGCAACAACATCGTCCAGCAGCAGCTCAATGACTCCAGTAATGACGAGTCCCAGGACACGACCGCAACCCACGATAGCGATCGCGATCGCGTCTTTACCCCACCAGAGAGCGATAGCGGCGCAAGTAGCGGTCCGGTGCATGCCAATGGAAATGGATCAAGTCAAGAATCACAGCTACTACAGTTGTCAGAACTAGCGGCTGCTCAGGAAAAGATGATAGAGGGCGCTCAGTCAAGAAAGAGGACGGCGGATGGCGCGGTCAAATATTCCAGGGACAGTATGAGTATTTCTCCTGTTCGCGTGTCTGGGCACTCGAGGAACACCAGTACAGTGAGTGCGGCTTCCACAAATGGGAGTCGCATTGGCGAGGTAAGTCATTGATGCGCACGACTTGATGCGACGACAGGTCTAACGAGACTGTAGCTCTCGGCGGAACTCAAAGCGAAATTATCATATGCCATGATGAAGGTCAACCATGGCTGGCAAAGCAATTCCATCGACGAAGTAGAGTCACTTGCGTCGCAAGCTGCTTCGCCGATATCCAGCACGTCAACTATACACGGTCGGCCGGGCGCAAACCCCAGCCCCAGATTATCATTGACAGCAATGCGCCAAGGGACGCAGAGTGCAGGCATTAGTCCAGTTGGCTTGCAGGCATCACAAGGGCGGGCTCATGAGGCATTCTGGCGTGACACTAATGTCACCCCCCAGAACCACTCCGTTTCGCCGCCAGCTTCACAAGTCTCGATGCTGGCTCCCCCAGCCGCGATACAGCCAGGACGATCTGGCTATCTCAATCCGCGTCGCAACTCGAATGCACGACATACGCCGGCTTATATTTCTCACCAGGCCTCGCCCCGCAGCCCGGCTCAGCCAAGTCCTCTTTTGAGTACTCCTGGTACAGCTACCTTGAGGACGCCACAAGTCGACCAAATGGTCTTTTCTCCACACCAGAACGTAAGAGAGCAAGAGGCATTGGAAACCCTCCTGTTCATGAGCAGCCCAGGAAACTCGGCCAACATGAAACATACGTTGCCGCCATCGGTACAACACGCACCGAACACTACCCAGACACACCGGACAGCCCTTCCCACCTCGAGATTGGCACCGAATAGCCAACCGCGGAAGACGCTGCCAACGATAAGGCATCACGCCCATGGCTCGATGGGAAAGCGTGTAGGCTTTGAAAAGTCGCCCAGTAATGTTGCTGAAATGGATGTGGATGACCACTATGCATCGCCTCGGGGAACACCACGTCGGAAGACGATTAGCGGATCTCGACCATCTTTGTCTGTACCTGCTGGGCTGAACGCACCGTCCCGACCGCGACCACAGCTACAGGATGCCGATATTGAGCGAATGCTTGATCGGGTGGCCGCAGATGACAGTTCGGACTCGGAAAGCGAGATCTCTTTGCCGGCTGGTTAGTCTGGTTCACGCCTGCTTCGGCACGCCTCTATTTCAGGGCTCGCCCAATGCGACGACGATATCCATGGGATTTTAAAGCAGCAGATTTCTTTCAAGCTTGGGGATCATCCCAAGTGTTGATATCTCAAACACTTTCAGATTAGCCGGAGCGTGTGATTTGGCATACTTACTTATGATTATGATGCATTAACATTTTTCACATTTAGGGATTGGGATTGCAAAATATGCAATGAGGCGTTTGGTGCATAGTTCTTGGTGTAGTTTGTGGCATGAAGAGGAACAGCTATGTGAGCGAGATGTATTTGATGGGCTGTATATATGAGAAGACCCGTAACTTCGGGATATTTTGAAAAGCCATCCCTTGCTTTCAATCACAATGGAATGTCTCACATTGATCAAACGCGTTCCCGGTATTGTTGTTGTACACTTGTTCATGTTAGAAAAGTTCTTGTACATCTTTGAAAATCTCAAATTTCCGTCTCACTATACCCCAGTTTACCTACATATATGCAAATAGTTTTTGCGTTCAGCGTGCATTCGAGTTGATGGACGATATAGGTAGTAATAGAATCTACATAGTATCTGCTAGAACTCAGTTGCACTGGGATCATGCTTGTAATCTTATTTGTTTGCTTTGGTCGTTGCAACATGGATACAAACAACGGTCTATTCACTCTGGAACCCGGAAGACGGCATTACCCTCTCCCCACTCGTTCAAGAAGCTATCCTGGCTATTAGAGACCGGCCAATTAGTGCTGTCCCCAAAAGGCCGCTTAGCCACTGGTGTAGGATATAGCGACCTCGGCATGCCGCGAATTGTGCGACTCCTAGCAGCCAAGTAGGTGCGCCGGAGTTACCAGTCGGGCTGTCGGCCACGGCACAGCCCCATCCTCGCCATCTATTGGGAAAATCCGCCACAGTTATTGAATAATCAGGTAAGCCATCCTGCCATTTCAAGTCGCTTTGAGTGCCCAAGAACCCCGGCTCTAACAGAACATTCCGCACTCGGACCACCCAAGCCATTTTGCTGAGCAAGCTGATTCCTTGGAGGACGACGACATGTGCCGTCAAACTATGCTCAGCCTCTCCGCTCGAATGCGTAAGCGCTGCTTCAGTACTAATCAGAATTCTTCCATGCATACGCGTATGTGTGAATGCTAAGACTCATCGGCAAATGCGACTAAAATCCGAGGTAGGTTTGGGATCTATAAGAGGTTGCGTTGCTCTTCTTACAGCGACAGCCGCTGGGCCTTTTGCTCTTGTGATGCGCTTGCAGTAAACTACCCCCATCAGTCACTTGATAATACAATCTAGTGACCACCACATACATCATAACAACACCAGGAAATCAAAAGGTCTTTTGTTTCCACTGTTCCTTTTTTGGAATATATCTGCTCTTACAAAGCGCATATAACATTTTTAAAGAAGAAAGTTTTATTTCCTCCACCTCATTCACTAAACCGAACAACAGAGAAGGAGGATCATAATGTCAGCAGCGGACTACTACGGCACGTCTGGCGGCAGTCAGTCGCCCTACCCGTCGCAACCGCAGTACGGACAGGCACAATACGGACAGCAGCAGCCGCAGTACGCATCGTCGCCGTACCCTTCGCAGCCCAGCTACGCATCCCCAGCGCCGCAGCAGTCGTCGCAACATCTCGCGCCCTACCCGACCCAGCCGCAATACGCGCGTCCCGGCTCCGCCCACTCGGACTACCCACCCGCGTACGACGGCTCGCGGCCTACCAGCGCACAGCCGGCATCTGCATATCCGCCGCCGCGACCGCACTCGGCTGACCCGTCCTCGTACGGACAGCAGTATCCTCAACAGCAGCAATACCAGCAGCAGCAAGTTGGATACAGGGATCCAACTGATCCGATCAATGCGCAGGACGGCGAAAAGGGACTCGGCTCCACGCTGATCGGCGGCGGCTCGGGCGCTTTTCTGGGCCACAAGCTGGGCAAGGGAAAGCTGGGCACCCTCCTGGGCGGCGCGGCCGGCGCCGTGGCCGCCAACGTCATTTCGAACAAGCTTCACGGCAAGCACGGCAGCGGGCACCACGGTGGTGATCCATACGGTGGCCACCACGGCGGCGGTCACCACTCGTCGGGCGGACTGCTCGGCAGCGTGGGCAGTCTGATTGGCGGCGGTGGCAGTAGCCACCACGGCAGCGGGCACTCGAGCCCGTTTGGGGGCTCGCATCACGGCGGTCACCACGGGCACCATGGAGGACACCACGGAGGTCATCATGGCGGACACCACGGAGGTCACCACGGAGGTCACCACGGAGGTCACCACGGGCACCATGGTGGATGGTAAACTGCCCTCAACGGGTCTTACGACTGATGCATTGATTTTCCGGCGTACCGGGTGTTCATGATTTGCTGCATTGAAACTGCTTGTTTCTCACTTATAATTTGCGAGGAGTGACACGATCACGCAACCGGCTCTATTGGAAACAGAGCATAGATACCAAATAGCTTATTGTCACTTACTATAACACGAGTAAATATATACACCCCATTTTTGCATGCCTCCTGTTACAATGACCTTGGGTATTTTGTGAAGTCGACCAGATACAGACAGATATCAACTTGAGCAATCCGGCACCACAAATTAGGGAGTAAAAGGTAATTTTGCTGAAATGGCATTCTCATAGCTTTATTTTGGATAGTGCATTCTATTAAGACGGTAAAAGCTTGTCAAGCAGGATGCATAACTAGACCTGCAACAGTTTGCACTCTATTGCCATGCCAAAGTCAAAAAGAACGACGGCCCTGCGGCAGGCAATGTTCTCGACCATCACTGGCACGAGGCCTTAATAATGATTGCCCCTCTTCCGCGTCATGGAAATGCACACATGCTATACTATATATGCAGGATGCATGTGACTAAACGGTTTCCCATCAAGTGATGGAAGGTTTGAGGGGTTACGAGGTAGCACGAGCAGAGGGATCCCCAAAACAGAGGTTTATCGGCAAATAGCTGGACGTCTTGAGGTTCCATTTCCTTTGAATACGTAAATTTTTGGAGTTCGTTTCTTGATCTTCATCTAAAGACACCACAGTAATGGAGTGTCTTCAAAAGACCATTTGAAATACTACTACTGCTGAATCCATTAATAGAGAGCTATGGTCTCGCCGACTAACAAATGGATGATGGAATATGCAGAGTATGAACCGTGCACTAGTACCGGTTGTCCCCCGGGTCCTTGTTGCTACCTGCGCATCATTCATATGCAAAGCGCGCTGGAGATTCACTAGGTTAGTGCTGCTCCTATACCAAAAAAGTAAAAAGTATATGCCTCTTCGAGAACAAGAAAAAGAATCGACACCTGTGTGATTCGAACACACGCTCCCGAAGGAAATGCCTCACGATATTCAGTAGAGAATAGCAGGGCATCGCGTTAACCACTCCGCCAAAGTGCCCAAGCGGTTGCTTGATTGGTTGTTGAAAAGGTGTCTTAATGTCAAATATGACACATACACATTTCAGAAGCTTCTAGTGAGACCAAATGTGGGGTAAGAGGTGGGACAAGATGTCTCTCCACCATGGTACGCTTCTGTTCGTATGCTTGATCCACCATTGGAAGATTGGTCAACGACACTTTATTATGATTATACAACATGTACCATATATCATGAATAATAAGGTTAAGTATCAGGATCACAGGCATGGACAGCACAGTGCTGTTACTTTGTGTTGAATTCATGTGGTAGGGTATCATTATCATACTCTGGACACTGGATCTAGCGCTTACCCGCGATGTCATTCAGCTTAATTGAAAATCCGGGAGATATGAGCCAGACAGGTTGAATATCGATCTTTTCTAGAAAATCTATCAAATCTTCGCATTATATCAAGCTAGTAGAGCTTGTTCAAGTCTATAATTCCAAAGTCTAAACGCACTTTCCCAGAACACCCTCCCATGGCTTCAACGGCACCATGGCCGTTTGTGGCTTGCCGACTCGACCCTTTGTATAGTTGCTGGCAGCCCAAAAGTCGACCTTGAGGCCCTCGGGCAAGAACCACTCGACCTGCTTGCCCGAGTAGTTGAGCACGACGAGCCACTTTTCTCCCTTGACGCTCGTCCGCGTGTAGGCAAAGACCTGGGGGTGCTCGTGGCTCAGCTCCTCAAAGTCGCCATAGACGAAGACGTCGGCGTGCTCCTTGCGGTCCTTGAGGCCGCGCTGCCAAAACTGCCAGACGCTCAGGTCATCGTCAGAGTCGTCGCCCTTGACCTGCGCCTCCGCGTTAATGGTCGGGTAGTCGTCAATGACGCGCATCCAGGGCTTGACGTCGGGGTCGCAGAAGCCGGCGTTGGGCGAGGCGTCCCACTGCATCGGCGTCCGCGCGTGGTCTCTGGCCTTCATGTGGATGACCGTCTTGCCGTGGTTCAGCAGCTCCGGGTCGTTGGCGTGCAGCTCCTTTGTCTTCTTCCAGTAGTTGATGGTCTCGATGTCCTTGTACTCCTCCATGTCCCAGTCCTTGGGAATGTTGCGCATGCCAATCTCCTCGCCCTGGTAGACGAACAGGGTACCGCCCAGAGTCGTTTGCATGAGGGCAATCAGCTTGGCGCCGAGGTGACGATACTCGTCGCTGTCGTCGGCGTAGCGCGACACCGAGCGCGGGTTGTCGTGGTTCTCGATAAAGACCGAGTTCCAGCCGTCGAGCTCAATCATGACTCTTTGCCATCTCGAGATGATGGACTTGAACTCCTTGACATCCCAGGGCTTCAGGGCCATTCTGACGTTGGGCTTGTCAATATCCACAACGTCAAAGATGAAGATCATGCGCAGTTCTCCCGCCTTGGCACCGACGGTACGCAACACCTCCTTCTCGTCGCTGACGCCAGGCATCTCTCCCACCGTGATGGTGTCGTACTTGCTAAGGACCTCGCGATGCATCTCTTGCAGGTAGTCGTGCAGCTTGGGTCCGTTGACGTAGTATTTCCATGCTGGCTGGTACTTGTGTCCCTTGCCCAGCACGATCTCGGCGTCGGGGTAACCAGGGACCTTGGAGATCAGGTTAATGACATCCATGCGGAAACCAGCGGCGCCCCTCTTGAGCCAGAAGTGCATCACGTCCCAGACGGCGGCACGGACTTCTGGGTTCTCCCAGTTGAGATCAGGCTGCTCGGGCGTGAAGAGACTGAGGTAGTACTCGCCCGTGACCTCGTCGTATGTCCAAGCCGAGTTGGCCTCGCCGAGGATCTGAGCCCAGTTGTTGGGCGGCTCGGGTGTGCCATCAGCGCCGACGCTCTTGGGCTTGCGCCAAATGTACCAGTCGCGCTTGGGGTTGGTCTTGCTGCTGCGCGACTCGAGAAACCAAGCGTGCTCGTTGGACGTGTGGTTGACCACGAGGTCCATCATGAGCTTCATGTCCCGCTTCTTGAGCTCGGCGATCAGCACGTCCACGTCCTCGAGCGTGCCGTAACACGGGTCAATCGACTTGTAGTCGGCAATATCATAGCCCATGTCCGCTTGGGGCGACTTGAAGATGGGGCTGGACCAGACAACATTGACACCGAGGTCTTTGAGGTAGTCCAGCCGCGAGGTGATGCCCTTGACGCTGCCCCATCCTGACTTGTTACCCGGATGAGACTGGAATGAGGAAGGGTATATTTGGTAGACAACGGCCTCTTTCCACCATTGTGGAGTAGAGAACGATGAGTTCGTGTACGCCTCGGTCGCCATGTTGCCGTGTTCTAATTGAGGTAGTCAGAGACTTGATGTCTTGGGCAGTGTGGTTGAAGAAATGCACACACGCTGTCTATACAAATTGCGTGATTAGGATTTATACACGATTGAATTCACTCAGGTTGACTGGCCAATGTGCATTGTCGATTCTCCGAGAATATCACCGTACGCACTCGGAACCCCACCAAGGAGTCTATGATGGACGATCGCTGGGAGCGGCTAGAGGCACACAAAACACAACCCCACTCTGTTTCTGGGGTTCTGTGCCTTGGTGGCCCAGCAATGACGATAGTCAGTGCATTATAGTGGGGGACATGGTCGTTTTTGGGCCTATCCCATGCAAGTGTATAGTACAACTCGTCCATCTCGGACCGAGGTGTGCTCAGGACTCATGACTTGTATGCTGCCAGTTGTCTATCCAAAATATCACACTGACTTGTTCTGCATGGATCTGCACGAACGTCTCATGATTTTTACGTGAATTGTGATCGTCCCAGGCTTTGCGATCCCAACTGCACTTCGAGTCATTGCAGCAGATCAAGCGCATACCTCTTCAAAAGTGGTTCTTAGTTGCAGGTGGTTGAGTCCCATATCCACGTGCTTTGGTATGAAATGGGATAGAAACTGTCAATCAAGTTGACGACATCATTTTCCCAGTATTATGTAACAAATATTTGCATACAATATGGATGAAGGGATCAATTGAGAACAATTTAATACAAACCGAAGCCATACACAAAATCATGCACAATGGATTGCAGACTTGTTCAATAGTGATTCTTTGTCTTCTTGTATTATACAAACTGGATAATGGATAAAAACACCAAGAGTATAGTTGGTGATATCATTCAAGGTAAGGCCACGAGGTGTCCTTGGTGGGGGACAAAATTTTCCTCGCCAATTTAGTCGTTTGCAATTTTTCTTGCCAAAGAGCACAGCTTCTCTGGACTCAGACAGACTGAGAGTGAAAACTTTTCTTGTTGTCAATAATCTTTCAGAGCCGGCAACTCCTCGCGTTTTCCTACACCAGACAGTTCAATTCATCACGATTACTATCAGTCAAGATCGACAACAATACTCAGAGTATTGCTCAACTCTCGCTGTTCATCTTGTCTTCTCAATTCTCCCACGCATCACGAACGAATTCGATACAATGGCTATCCTGCGCATTCATCTGATGCTCAGCGTCCTCTTGGTACTGGCCGCGGCCGTCCTTGCTGACTTCACCATCATGTCCTCCGACCTCTTAACTAAGGGCAATGACGGAGACTACCACATGAAAGCGCGCTACATCTTCGTCAGGGGCGACGGTCATCTGAACTGCGACAACCTCTGGAATGTTCCAGCATGGGAAGAGTCCATAATAAACGACGTCAGCGGCGATAAGCAAGGCGTTCGCTACAAGGGCGTAAGGCCAACCGACCCTACGCTGATTGAGTTCAACACGAACTTTGGTCACTACAGTACGTTAATATCTCTCTTGATGCTCAGTTCCCTCTCACTCTTCTTTCTATTTCTCGCTTTTCTCTCCGTTTCCCAAGTTCCTCTACTTCTCTTGAATACTCACCTCGTTCCCAGCCATGTACAAGAACCGCGACTACCACCTCGCGGCTCTCGACGACGCAGACAGCGGCCAGTGCAGAATTACCAACTCCTTTGTGAGATTTTGCTCCTATGAAGAGAACCACCTGATCGTCAAGTCAATCGTCCGCTGTAAGACAGACACCATCGTCTTTTAGTCGATGAGATCGATATCTCGGCTTGAGCTTGAATTCCCACTCTACCATTTTGGAGAGAAGATATTGAGAGAATCTCCCGAAGTATCGGATTGCAGAAATATCTTCAATCGAAAGAATCAAGAGGGAAAAGAACGAAATATCGAACAGCGCAACAAATAAGCCGCCGAAGCTTATATAAACAGCAGCCGCACTTGCCAACTTCTCACGAAATATTCAGCTGCACCAAATTTACAAGACTAGCACGATACAAGTCAACAAGAGCTTGTCAGAGATGGATGTGCTAAGTAGGGTCATGATGTCAGGATAATTCTAGGGCTTGGCAACGAAGGTTGATCAAGATTGGGAAAGCAATGGTCTTATGTTCGTAAGGGAATGGCACAGTGTATCCATCGGCCTTCAGCATACGCGATATTGCAAAGGCAAACGAAAACAATCATGAATGACGAATGATTGAATAACAAATACCAATTTGTACTTGTAACCAAGGACCTCGTCTACTGGTAATCCGTTGTACTGAATGTCATCGGTATTCGAGAAATGTGCGTTATTGTCCTGCGCCTCCTCGCCTCCTCGCTTGCGCGGATGCGCAAGCTAACGTGCCGTTGAACTCATCCGCTCCTCGCCAATTCTCTGTCCGCTTCTAATAGTAACATCTACCATTATGGTCGGAAGCATGGCGATGGCGCCGACTACGGAACTTTGACGGCGTGGTCAATAGTTTGTAGTTTCCAACCCCAGCGGCTTACACAGACCGCGTGCCAGGTCATTAAATCCACCGGAATTGAATGAAAGGGCCGCTCTGTTTCGATTTATCGCCCCTGGATGTTCATGCCATCATTACCAGAGATATTTATGTAACGTACTGTCGACTTGGCCTCCATAGTTTGCAATCAAAGCGCAGATCCCGGATTCATCGCCTATCGTTGAGTGCTGGATTGACTTGGCCCAGAAACCGAATTTGATGCCACTTCCATCCAAGACACCTCAGCT